CCGCGGGGACAAAGGCGCGGAGACACGAGGCGAGCGCCCGGCAGTAGCTTCCTGCGCCCCAGCCAGGGAGAGCAGCTGCCGGCTGCAGAAAAGCCGGAGGAGGGGCGACCCCAGGTGCGGGAGGCGGGGGAAGCGAGCGAGGCGGAGGGTCCAAGGGCACGAGGGAAGGGGGGAGAGGAGCCAGCAAACCAAGGTCGCCCGACGCCTGTCTGCATTCGGCACTGGAGAAGAGCAGAGGAGTAGTTGCTCCCGAGCGCTCTGTCGTCGTCGTCGTCGTTCCCCCCCCCCCCCCGGCATAAGACGGGCCAGCCCTTGGCCGAGTTTCTGGAACGAGAGGTGCCGGGGCTGAACGCTGGCAACGACGGCCACGCCCTCTTGCCCTGAAGGGCTCAGCCTCAACGCCAGGGCTGGGGAGGGAAGAGAGCTCAGAGAATGTACAGCCGGCACCCCCTTCTCCACAGTATTATGAGGACTGTCTTCGATCGGCAGCAAGAATGTAAACTAAGCGCCAGGAAGCCAAGGTAGCCTTTGTCCTGGTGGTCACAAACAGTCTAGAGAAAAACCAACACACCTGTTCAGGTGCACAACAACAAAAATATGCATATTTGTGGCAGTTGGAGGAGATCTGAGATTCCTCTGTAGTGAACTGCAGCTGCACCAATTGTTTCTGATTTTCATCACTGGTCTACTCCACATTTGGGGGGGGGGGGGAGAGAATGATCCCAGGCTGGCTTTATAACCTCAGTGGCACATTTCTCTCATGCACAAACCCTCCTGGCCCTTCTCTCCAATCTCAGATGTGAGGCCCTCTGCACATGTTTAGATGTAGAGAGCTTCACATGTTCAAGGACTTACCAGTTCCCATGCACTCCTACACAAATGACTCCTTGAGCATCTGAACCCAACCCAGCAGGTATTCTCAAGTGCCTACTTTAGACCAACTCCAAAATAAACTCATTTTTGGCATCTAATCTAAGAAATAAAACGCAAGATGACTTCAACTCAAAATGGTACTCTGGGCACTCTCAGATGATTTCTAGCCAATAGGTACAGAAGCACAGAAAGCAGCACTTGGCATTCAAACCAGCCTTGGAGAAGAGATTTCATTTAATGCACTTCACGTGATTCCAGCCTGGCACAGGGCTGAGGGCATCAAGCAGTGATGAGCCAAAGTATTTTGGAAACACACGTGCCTAACCAGAAAGGCAGCCTCCTGTTTCTACAGAAGATGTGCCACTTCCCACTCCAGAGGAGATGACATTTAGAGTACTTCGCTTTGGTATCATCGCCTCACAAGTGATGAAGAAGACTGATTCAACCTCCTCCAGCTTTTGGAACACGCTCTTGTCAGCAGGCAGCGCTCTTGGGTCCAACATTTGGCTTATGAAAGGTGGACAAGAACAGATTTATTTATTTATTTATTTATTTAGATTGTATACCCTGCCCTCCTGCCAAGGCAGAGAGCTCCCTTGGACAGTCCTGATGCGCAGTGACTGAGAAGTCCACACCTCTTCTTACAGAAGTAGTTTATTTAGCTTTAAGAGGAAGCAAGAAATTTGGTTCTTTGTAGCTTGATTATTTTTGCATGATCTGGGTGAATTTCATAACCTCAAAAAAAAAACTACAGAGGGATCTGGAGTTAACCACCAGCACTGCAAATTGATGCCAAGTCACTTTAATCAATTGAAAGGGTGCATGATACACAGACAGTTTCTCTGTTCACAACACAAAAGGGAACCCATGTGGCAAGGATGGACAAGCAAATGCCACTGTATTTGGCTTGATATCCAACGTGCTTCAACCAGAAACTCCTAAAAACCGCACAACACCCTATTTGGCTAACATCAACAAGAGACAAACTTGTGAGTGTATCACAATGCAAAAGCCAAGCAGGATTTCAAGTCTGTTGTTCCTGAAGGGCAAAAGGCCAGCTCATCACCAGTATAATTCTAACAATACAAAATGAACAAAGGAAAACCCAAAGAGGAGGCTGCACTTGGATCCTGATTGTTGTTCAGTCGCACAGTCAAGTCCGACTCTTCGCAACCCCATGGACCAGCTCCCGCCAGGCCCTCCGGTCTTCCGCCGTCCTCTGAAGTTTGCTCAACTTCATGTTCGTTGCATCGATGACACTGTCTAACCATCTCATCCTTTGCCGTCCCCGTCTTCTTAGACCTTCAATCTTTCCCAGCATCAGGGTCTTCTCCAGTGAGTGCTCCCTTCCCATTTGGTGGCCAAAGTATTTGAGCTTCAGTTTCATTATCTGGCCTTCCAGGGAACAATCAGGGGTGGATCCTGATATCATCCCCCAAGAAACTTCCAAGTTCTACCACCGTCTGATGACCCTCGCTGATCAGGAGACTTAACACTGGTCATGCATTTTTATCTGTTTGCAACCTTGCAACAATGGGATTCTCCTCTAACAAGAGTGAATCTCTCCCACTCTCATAGCCATGAATGTTCCCCACGCGCATGGATACAAGTTCTCTATTCCTGTTTTACATCTGGCCAGGCTCTCTCACAAGAGCAGCCTTTGTAAGAAGTGCCCGTAAGAACCAAGATCCTAAATTTAAATATTCAGAGCAAGGGTAAATGATGATGTTAAATATTTGATTCAGCAGAATCTGGGTTCACAGCAGCACACATAAGACTGCTCAAGTACATCAAGTCTTGGAAATCTGGCAATCTGAGCAAAATAAATCACTAGCATTTGGGTGCACTAAGCATTTCCTCCTGATGGTTTACAGATTAAAGTGAAGGCTGTCAGTTCATTGATCGCTGAGCACTAACCGAGTGATTGCTTCCTTTTGCTGTTCACTACTGGTTACCATGGAAACTAGTTCTGCAGCCCTGATTAATCCAACTCTTCAAACTTAATGCTGAAGGTGTTTCACTACTTCAGCAACTAACATATGCATACAATCCCTTGGGAAGGGCAAAAGTTGGCCACTGCCAGGTCACAGACATGGTCAGAATTTATGCACAGAAGCGCCCAGGTGAAACAGAAAAGTACTGTAATCTCCATAAAGGAGTTATAAGATGAAATGACCTCTCTCACTGGAGCCCTTTGGCATGGTAGAGGGAGCATACAAGCTTCTGACTGCCACAGAACTCTTCACCTAGGAGACTGGAAAAGGGACAAAAGGTTCAGGGGGTATGTAGAGGGAAACAAGTTTATACCACCAGAAAATCTGCTTTTTGGGGGGGAGGGTGATCATACAGCAGAGTTTGCCCTAAAAACAGCACTTCCTTCACTTTCAGGTCAGCATTCAAAACACACATACAGCACAAATGGTGATTGAGGGGGAGAGAAAAACTCTGCCATTGTATTTAATACTAGACTTGATTCTCAACATTGCCGTTTCTCTTTGTACCAAAGAAAGGGAATACTCCTAAGAGCAGAAAGGATGTACCTGAACCTCACACCCCATCCATTTCTTGTGCATACCACACCCCAAGATGAGGGCCAGTTCACTGCCTTAGCTGGTGTGGTAGTTGGGTTGCAACTCAGAACATCTGCAGTTCAAAATCCTGCCTATGTCACACACACAACAAATGACCTTAAGGAAGCCTGAGCCCCTTGACTGCCATATGGGGATAAAACTTTGTACATAAGCACAAGGTAACATAATTTCCTTTGTACATAAGCACAAGGTAACATATTGTGAAGCATTTCAAAGCACTACACAAATGCTACGTTTTATTGTTCATAAGGGGGATACCTATTTCTAGCATCCAAGAGGGGAGGCTAGGGGCTGGGGGATCTGTCACAGCAATGACCCTACTCCAGGTGAGGAGCCAAGCACCAGGCCCAAACGCTGATGGGTCTTCCGGGGGGGGGGGGGGGGGGGGGGTCTCACAGAACTGCTAACTGAAAAAAGAAAAAAGCACACAAAGACAGACGCGGGGAAATGTCCATTTCAAGAAGATATCTGTTGGCGCTACCAACACACTCCATGGTAGTCTCAGAAGCATCCACTGGGAAAAGGCTGGAAAAGGACAGTAATGGCCACCAAGACGGACAAGATCCTTTCACCATGCGGGAAAAATAACTGCTGCTGGGGAAATCAAGGGAAGAAGAAGAAATAAAGAAGTAAAAACTTGCAACAAGTAGACCTCTCTGGGGTACTGTTGCGGTGGCATTACTCAGCATTCCTGGAGCTGAGTTTGCCCTATCAAAAAAGAGGTTTGCCATTTTTATTCTAAAGCACCTAAAGGATCCCTCACCTCTAAGGAGCCCACGAATTGGTATCTGGAAGCAGCAGCAGGGCACAGACCAGACCAGGACCATTACAGACTTGCTCACTGCTGAGCTAGCATGACCTCAGGCTTCAGCTACAGTTTGCTGGGTCAGTGGAGCAGCTACCCATGCGGAAGAAGCAACCAAAGAGCCAGATGTCATTTGTGGGTGCGCATGCATGTGCACACAACTCTGCATAGGTCACACTTCTAATCAACCTGAAGACTC